TAAAAATCCTAGCTGTACTGAGATATTAAAAAAACCATAAATACCATAGAAAATGAAGACACACTAAACCACGAAGAAAAAAGCATAAACATCTACCAACAATAGATGATAACAGTGTAACAACCCTATGCATCAACACATATATATGACATATATCTGTACTATATACTATACTGAACTATACAAACAACCAACCACACACACGCCATAACAAACAACAACACACACAACCAAAAACCCCACCCAACCCACCAACACAAACCACAAAACAAACCCAAAACCAAAACACCCCACAACAAAACACACAAACACCCAAACACACACACCAAACACGAAAAAAACAACACAAACCACAAGCAAACACAACACAAACAAACAAACAAACAACAACCACAAATATATAATGTAATATATATCGATACATATATGTACCTATTAATGTATAATAATACTATCAACATACTACTATGAATATATATAATATACTAATATATATATATATATAACCATATTAATATATAATATTATATGTGTGTGTGTGTGTGCATTAATAATATATATATACAACATATATATATATATATATATATATATACACATATATAATAAATATATATAGATAGATAAATTAATAAACATATATATGTATAGTATATCATATGAACAAATAAAAACAATCAATGGGCCTTTGGGATGTCTAATAAAACAAGCTCCTTTTACGTCAGGGATTTAATGGATAAGTCAGAGTATATTGTGCAGGCACGTCGACATCAAGGGTTTTGTCTGGCTCAGAAAAACATCTTCAATAAACGCTTCAGACAAAGCATTATTTTCAACAGAGATAAAGAACGATTTCCCTCCCCAAAAGACTATTCAAAACTCAACAAGAAATCTATACAAATGTGTCTTTTGTATACATAAGAATTATTTACAATATATACAACTTGCATCTTTCTAGGAGAAAAAAGGAGAGAGAAAATATAATGTTTGGTACACTGTAGCGAGCTTTGGAAAGATCCATGCCGTTGTTCAGGTTCTATTTTCCTCAAGATTATAAGACCTGCAGAATTTTCCAATTCATTTTTTTAAATATATATCAATGTGCAGTTCTTATAAGGCACAGATTTTTTTTCTTTCGATATAATCTCGAATTTGATCATGTATTGATAACAAAAAAGTTGATTTTTTTCTTAACTCATCATTATGATTTAAACATTTCTCTTTCGTTATCTTTTACTTTCTCTTTGCCTATTTCCATTTTTTTGCCACGAGGATGAGTTGGAACCTGAAGCTAGTCACACGGACTGGTATCATGAAACAAAAAATCGAAAAAAAAGTATGTCCAGTGAAGATATGAAAAATTGTGCAGGATAAAAACAGTGCAGAAATCTGGCAAGAAAGTGACGTGAATATGAAATCTGTTCGGATAGATTCTGGCTCATACAATAGTCTGGGTGGCCATTTATCGTCATATTTCAGGACAGGTGTTTGCAGCCTGTTTAGACGATCTCATGGCACATGTTAAGGAAAATGCGAGGCAGCTGTTTTGACAAGTGATAAGTGTACATTTTGAATGATGTATTCTCATCTTTGAATTGGTTTTTAACATTCTTCTACTCATATTATATATATATATCAGCTTTTACATCACGTTTAAATCGGGTTTTATCAATCGCTGTCTACAATGATTTTGTTTATCGGCCGTTACTGCAAGACAAAAACAACAAGAATCAATCACATATTCTACATGCATTATACTCTTGACCCGAAAACACAGGGCGCTCAGTGCCTGTCTCTCGTGTTTTAATTTTTTAGTACTTACACTTGCCTCTGTACTTTAGCCGTTCTAATCTTACACTATAATAGTTTAGTGGTTATTATATGATGTATTTTGCATGATTTCTAAATCGACTATACTTCTATGAGCCCTGTTAAATATATATATATATATTGTCTTTTATATACCTAGCATACTTTTTTCAATCTCTGTGCTTACATTATTATTATGCATTAACAGTAATAAAATGTACCAATAAGTTTAACACTGCGCCTTTCATCAACCATTCTACTTCACAACTACATCTTATCCCCTTCTCTATCATTTCTGTCTACTTACTTATCTCTCTACATCCTTTATTTCACATATATGTTCAGCCTGAAGATGACACCAACATCATCATCATGTCAAAAAGCTCACACTCAAAAAATCATGTCCTTTCGGTTTCTATTTGGACCGAAAGGGAAGAGAAGTTGACACACCAAGATATGAAATGTTGAATATGGAGATCTCGTATTACTTTTTTGACCCCTTGATGGTTCTATCTTCTATCTTTATCTTTGTAGTTACTTAAAAGAGTATATTTCGATATGTAAGTTAAATAGAGTTACCATCCACACATAAGTTTATACACACTGACGTTAATGCCTAACAAGATATATATGTATATTTGAATATATAGAGAAAACACAAGGTCACTCTCCTTTGTTACCGCACTCATGCATGCGATATATATATATATATATATATATATATATATATATATATATATATATATATATATATATTATGAGACACACACACACAAGTAAACCATGCGCTATTTACACAAGGAAAAGATAAGTGTTATTAAGTATACAGCCATATGGTATGTGGCCTTGTGAACAGAATTATAAGGTTTGAAACAGAGAGATGAAGATAATGAGTGTAAGTAGTAATGATGACAATAATAAACTAGTGATAAGGCTATCAATACTGATCATTACAATAATAATTAAATTATAATAACAACAATAATAATGATATTGAACAATCATTTCAACGATAACATGATGATGATGAATAATAATAAATTAAATAATAATAATAATAATAATAATAAATAGCAGTAGTAATAACACAGTAAAATAATAATAATAATAATAATAATAAATAATAATAATAGCAGTAGTAATAATAATGAATTAAATAATAATAATAATATAATAAGATAAAAATAATAATGATGATAGCGATGTTGATAATGATGATAACAGTGATAATAATAATAATAATAAAAATAACAATAAATACCAATAATGATGGTAATAATAATGAGAAAAATGATAATAACAGTAAACTTAAACACATGAGAATTCGTTACAGGAGTATATAAACACTGCTTCCTCTAATACAAGACAAATTCCTAATTCTACACCAGAATATAACAGCAGAGTTCAACTAAATGTGTTTCAAGCTTATACACCCAGCTTGCGTAAGAAACTCTAGGAAATGCAGTAAATCTATATGACATAAATATCCACAGCAAAAAAAAAAAGATCTTTACAAAAATACCCTCAATATCACTTAAAATTCTGGATGAGGAAATCATATATTTTTTTTCTATATTGTCTAAGTTATCACAACCCAAAAAACTGAATGATGAAACGTGTACATAGTTTGTTATTTACTTTTATTCTTCCTCTATATTAAAAGCGAAAAGGAGAGACCTTGACACCACTAAGTGCACACAAGAGAGTATTTATACGTATGTTTAAGTGAAGGTTAAAAATAGAGTCTAAGCAAGTGTTCAAGGTAAGGGAATGTTCAGATTATTCAGTACGACTAAGTGAAGGTTCAAATTAAGTATGTTTAGGACATAGGAGAGAGAGAGAGAGAGAGAGAGAGAGAGAGAGAGAGAGAGAGAGAGAGAGAGAGAGAGAGAGAGAGAGAGAGAGAGAGAGAGAGAGAGAGAGAGTAAAAAAAAGTAAAGAAAAAACAAGCAAAATGCCTCGACAACACATATCAAAAAGGAAGAAGACCGAAAGAGGAAAGTAGAGCGAGAGAGAGAAAGAAGGCAAAATCCCACGATATGATGAGATAACAACCATGGAAATCGAGAGTTCCCTTTGCATGCGGGTCCCTCATCCACCTCCGACCAGACAGGTTTTGAAATGCTTCAGTGCAGTGAGATAATCCGATGTAAAAGGTGCATTTTTAAGCTCATAAATGGAACGTTGGTCCTTCTATTTAAGTATAAATAATTTGTATCATTTTCTCAATGCTATCTTTATAGTCACTCGACTCTACACAACACAGTGAAATGTGGACACAGTAGAATATTACCGCTATAATAACGCTTCTTCACATCCACACAACGTATTACGTAACATTCGAAATTACATTCAGATAATATTACATTTGCTGTTTTTGTGACCCAAGGCGATGATGATATAACCGCATATACCTCACTATGAACAGAAATATTGCACGAACACGGAGATATACATATATAAAAAATAATCTTACACACACACACACCACACACGGCGCACTTTCCCGCTATTGACACAAGAGGAATACACCTAACATCGCTACAGCCGGGTTGTGTAATTATTACCTGGGGAAAATAGTCTCATGCACGCACTCACGTTTTTTCCCTCCTCCCCCCCTCGCCTTCCCTCCTCCCCCGTCGTCCCTTCGAAATTAATTAGTACTTCGTGAAAGGGACATTTTTTCTTTCCTTCCTTCCTTTCTTCGATCTTTCATTCCTTCCTTCAGTCTTCATATATCTTTCCTTTCTCTTTAAATCGTTCCTTCTTCCTTCCTTCTGTCCATCGTTTCCTTCCTTTCTTCTATCGTTCTTCTCCTTTTCTTCCTTTTCCATCCATCCATCCTCCATTTTCTTCCATTGACTTTCCTCCTTTCTTCTTCCGACCTTTCCATCCGTTTTCTTTACGCTCTGAGAATCTCCCTTTTCTTCATACTCTCAGTTTCTACATTTCTTTTATGCTCCCATAATCTCCGCTTTCTTCATACTCCTACAATTTTTGTTTCTTTACTCTTCTGTTTCTTCATACTCTCAGAATCTCCGTTTTCTTCACGTTCTCAGAATCTTCGTTTTCTACAAGCTCCAAATTCCATTTTATCCTCACGCTCCCAGAATCTCCGTTTTCTTTTCTCCTCCCCCCTCCTCGTTTTCTTGCGAATCTCCGTTTTCTTTGAACTCCCAGACTCTTTTCTGTAAACTCCCAGAATCTCCGTTTTCTTTACGCTCCCAGAATTTTCTTGACCGTGAAGCCCGGAACGGAGTAGAAGAAGAGGACAAAGAAAATGGTCAGAGCAAAGAAAACGAGGAGCTTGATGATGGCCCACTTGTAGTTGTGCCAAATGATGTAGCGGATGCTCTTCAGAGGGTTGAGGAACCACATGAAGGAGGCATCGGGGCGGCTGTGGGGAGAGAAAGAAGGGCGTGTGGTTAGTACAACAGAAGTTTTTTTTTTATTGGTTATTTGGATTTTTGTACCATGCATGTTTTTTTTTACCTGTATTTTCCTCTACTTTGGTCTCTTGCTAACTATCGGTCTCTCTCTCTCTCCTCTATCTATCTCCACTCCACATTCTCTAATTTTCCCCACTTCCTCCTTCCCTCGAAACCTCTCCCTCTTCCCCCTATCCCCTACCCCCTCCATCTCCTTTCCTCCACCTCTTTCATTCCCTTCATTTATCTATTCACTCATTTATTCATCATCTTACTTCGGCTTCTCCAGGGGATCCGGCTCGTTGCGTCCGAGTCCAGCCGGGTTCTTCTCCGCCTCGTCCTTCGTTAACAGGTGAATCTCGGCCTCGACTTTGCCCTGTTAAATATTCATGGTTATAATTACAACAAAGAACAAAAGAATCGTAAATGATAACCATGATGATAATTTCTTATTTATTTATTCCTGGTCATTTTGTATATGTATTTTCCTGCGTGTCTGATGCATGACTATTTTTCGATTATATTCCAAACTAACTACTTGTGTTTTTTATAACTTCTAATACACTGTACAGTCTTATATGTGTGGATATTATTGTACATGCATTATAGAGTGAATTATCTATACTATTCTTAGTGTGCTTTGAGTATAAGCATTACATAGGTTATTATAGAATGATTCGCTCTTTTTTACTCTTATCTCATTTCATTTCGTTTAATTCTATTTAATTAAATTCTGAAATTTACAGCAATATTCTTTCACTGCTCTGCACAACTTTTTTTCTCAAAAGAGATTTTGCGAATCGCAAGTCTGGGAGTTGGCAGACTCCTATTAAGGACATTATTAGTTCTTAACTGTGAAGGCAAATATGTAGTGGTTCATAAAAATGTCATTATGTTATCAATGGAAACTGTAATAATGATCATAAAATGTTTTAATACTGAAACAAGTTCTAAAATATCATCTGCTCATTATAGCACCCGGTCAACAAACACTATCTCATGTAAGTATCACATGACAGAGTATCATGCAACAGGTTATACCATGACACAATTTTACATATGAATATCGTGAAAAACAATACTGGATGACAATGTGTGACACGAAATTATATTGTCAAAATGTTACATGACACAGCGCATAACAACATAACAGCATATCCAACACTGCACATAACCTTAACAAGGCATTCCGCAAAACACAACTCTCCATAAAGGTTGAAAGTGACATAAGTATATCATTATTAATGTGTGCGCAAAATGCATTTATTACACCATGTGCACCACATAGTGACAGACTCGCACCATCACAACACCACGGCTTCACAACGCCAAAGCATCACACCGTCACATCACCCCACCACAACACCCGAACGCCACAAAACGCCACCAAACACCACACAGGACCCACCGTGAGCTCCATCTCCTCGTTCTCCTTCTTGATGTAGAACGGCCACCAGCCCTTCACTCGCCTCTGCTTGAAGATGTTCACCATAGGAACCGAACCGTCCGTCTTGAGCATGTCCAGGGTGCACAGCTTCGAGTTCTTGCCCCCCGAGGGAACGGTTCAGGTCCAGGGTTATGGCCCCAGGAAGTCGTCGGCAGAGAAGTGGTCGGCGTCCCATACCTGAAGAGGAGGAACAGTGGATGAGAATATAAAAATAATTTGTAAATATTTACTAATATACTTAATTATTTATACCACCTACCCATCCACCCATACACAGGTGGGTGGGTGTGGTGGTGGTGGGAGGGGCTGAAGAGGAGAGGGGAGAAAGGGCGTGGAGGTGGAAAGGAGGTTTCGAGATGGATTAGGGAATAAGTGGACAGATCGAGGAAATATAAGTGGATGTAGGGTGAATTGTGAGGCACGGGGGGAAGAGGAAGGAGGAGGGGAGTATGGAGGTGGATGGTGGGTAGGTGGAGGTATAGGTGGTGGGTGGAAGGGATAGGGAGGTAAGGAGGAGGATGGGTAGAGGAGGGAGGTACATCGATGGGTGGAGTGTTAGGTATATAGGGCATGGGTGGATAGAGGGAGGGGTAGGGGGGAGGTGAACGTCCGTGCGACTTACTTTTTATCGTTATTATAATAGTAGTGGTAGTTGTGGTTGTATCATAGCAATAGTAATAGTGGCATTAGCGTTCGTAGTAATAATAGTAGTACCATTAGTATTAAAGTATATTACTATCATTACCGTCACCTTTGCCATTATCTTAACAATAGTATTATTATTATTATCATTATCATTTTCTTCCTTCCTCCTTC